TTCTATGATTGATATCTGCTATCAATATCATTGCATGCCTCACTGCATCACTCCAAATGATCAGAATCCACGGTTGATATCATTTATTAATATCATTTTATGCGTCATTCCCTCGATCGATGTCTCGTATTAATATCATTACATGCTTCACTGCCTCTACTCTTGCGTGGTCATTGGTTCGTGGGACCTATTTTCAGTTTTTATCAAAAGAAAAATGATTTTTTCCACTAATTAATTTGGCATTGGCTTCTAATTTTGGCTTCCACCTCAACTAATTGATTTTTCAAACTCACATCCAATGGCATTGGCTCATTTTGTGTGAAGAACATATATCAGAATAAATTTTTATTGACCACACACCGTACACTCCCCACCCTCCTACACATTTTTGTTACATATAAGATCGTCGGGTACACTGTACCCAGGGCTAATAGAAGTGTGGAAATTGATGTTCTGTGTACCTAAACTCTGTCCTCCTCCTCTCTGGGCCTGCTGATAGTGTGTTTGAGTCTCTATAAATAAACCTGATGAAGGAGCCTCGGAGAAAAACAAAGAAATGAAAGTTGTCCTGAACATGTCTCAGGGATTCAGTGGATACAACATCACATGCGACAATTTTTTTACGGCGTACAAGCTGGGATAGGGGATCCTCAAGATGAAGCTGACCATGATGGGAACAATACGGAGAAAACAAGTCAGAGCTTCCACCTCAACTGCTGGCTTTAGAGAACAGGTTTTTCAATTCTTCCAAGTTTGCCTACACCGCTGACACATTTCTGGTATTCTATGTGTCAAAGAAAGGCAAGAATGTGGTACTTCTGAGGACACTGCACGAAGATGAAAAAATCTGTAATCACCCCAAACTGTGACCAAAATGACCAAAATCTGTGACCAAATCTGTGGAAAAATTTGTGACCATTCCAAACCAGAGATCATCATGCATCACAAAAGGAGGAGTAGACAATATGGACAAGCTGGTGACGGCCTACAGCTGCAGACAGAGGACTCTACATTGGCCACTGGCGATTTTCTTTGACATGTTGGACATCTCAACATACAGCGCCTTTGTCATTTGGATGGCACTGAACTCAGAGTGGAACTCAGAGGGAAGTTCCGGAAGAGACGACTCTTTCTCGAGGATCTGGGAAAGGCATTGGTGAGACCACAAATCAAGGAAAGACAGCTTTTCCACAGAACCCCAGCCTCTGCAGCCATTGTGAGGAGTGTTCAGGAGGAGAATGCTGGTGCTCTATCCGTGAACCTACACTACACTGCTGATCAGTAGTTTTGATAAACATTGCTTCACTTTCTGATTTAATTGGTTGTTCTGATTTAATTGATTCTGATTCTTATAATTTCAATTGAGTCGGATTTAATTGATAGGTATATTCTGATTTTAATTGATGTTCCTTATTAGGTTGTTTATGCTGTCATGTATTTTATTTTATGCATTTTATTTTATTCTATTCATACTGCTTGTTATGAACTAAACATCTATTGAGTAGTTTAACAGGAAAGCGTTTGATTGTGAGGTAATGAAAACCACAAAATGCTATGGGTCCACCCGACCCACGAAGCCCAGCTGTGCAGCAAAAATATGAGGGTTAATATCATTGCTGTCATCATTTATAATGTTACTTTTATTGCAAATACGATATTGACAATATTTCCACTGTTATTTCAATATTTTTATCATTCAAATTAGCCTTGAATTATCCTATTAAATCATATTTTAGATTATAATTTCATACAGCAAAGAATAGCCCATCGCCAAACAACAATCTCTCCTATTATGATCTCGAAGTATATGGAAGTGGAGAAAGTCATGAACTATTCATTGGTCTATAGCAAAACGAACAGTTTTGAAAAAAAAAATCATCGGTTCCGCCATTCCATGCTATTTCACGAATGATGCCTCGTGAATAATTCATAACTGACGAATGAAGGTGCGATAAAATCGATAGAATCCCAGAGTACCAAGTGGCCACCGAAATGCAACTTTAACAGATTTAAGCGAAAGAGTGGTAATGGTCCTACTCTAACTTACTGCTCTAACCTACAGTCCTACTCTAAATTACTTTTAATCTACCGGATATCAACGCTGTCTCCGATCAGTTTCATATGTAAGTAATCGTAGATTCATGTTTCTAAATTCTACCTGAGATGACATATTCATTTATGCTGTTGATTTCCTCATCGGTTTCTGCTGCTGCATGCTGTTTCACGAATGATGCCTCGTGAATAATTCATTGAAACAGGCTGATGAATTGCATGCGCAATTGCCTCAGGCCATCATGACGACCGACAAACAATTCATTGAATAAATTAGCATTTATGAATTGAAGGATTTTACTGTGAAATATTTCCATATTTTTCTCGGGCTCCGACTCATTTTCAATTTGTTTTCATTTTTGCTGATGTATCTTCCAAAAAATCAAAAATTCATGATCTGAAAGCTGCTACCTTTTTTGCAAAAATCATTCTATTATTATATGTACACACATTTTATTTTCTGCTCGCTGCTTTCTAATGTCTTTATTCATTTTATTGTTCTAAAGGTATATGACTGATTGTAGGTGAACATATTTATATTTCAATATTCAATTAACGTAATGAATAGCTCGTTGCAAATAC